CTATTATTATATAATTCGTTACACTGTGGCTGTGTTGTCTGTGTTAAGTTGCTGTTGCACTGCAATTTCCCTCACGGGATCAATAAAGTATCTATCTATCTTAAAGGCAGCAATATCCTGAACCAATAATCCTGCTTCAATTAGAAAGTGGGGCTCACAGCTATCTCTAGCCCGAACTGCCCTATCTAGTTGCTTGACATCCACCATTCCTCCCAAAGTGATCCACTGCAACATTTGCTCTTTCTGGGTTTTCTTTTTACTACTTTGATCATCTTGCTGTGTTCACTACCTCACACTCCTGGAAATCTCCTTTGAGGTCTCTGAAAATCTGGTTGTTTTAGGCAACAGAGGACCTGTACAATGTTATATGTACAGGTGCAGAGCCTGTATACCTAACATTTGGAAGATTTCGGCAACAATCTTTCTTCAGCCTTATCAATGACATAATAGACTGTACAGTGGAAGTAATGACTTTAGGGAGAATTATATCTGCAATTTTTAAGTAGCTACAGTGACTGCCGTTTCAGACAGTCAGCTGTGCAGTGAAAAATCCTGGCACAGACTTTACATGTGTTGTCCCTAACCCTGCAGCCCTGTTTCAGTGACACATTTAAACAGCTGGACCTGGTGTGGACGTTTGTGCAGTGGACTTAACAGAGAAGTCCCTAGTAAAACAGAACAGGAGAACTTGAAGTCCATTTAATAAATAATAATTGCTTACACTTATATATTGCTTTTCTGGACAATCCACTCAAAGCGCTTTACAGGTAATGAGGACTCCCCTCCACCACACCCAATGTGCAGCATCCACCTGGAGCCAGAACGCTCACCACACATCAGCTATAAGGGGGAAGGAGGGCAGAGAGTAATGAAGCCAATTCATAGAGGGGGATTATTAGGAGGCCATGATTGGTAAGGGCCAATGGGAAATTTGGCCAGGACGCCGGGGTTACACCCCAACTCTTTTCGAGAAACGCCCTGGGATTTTTAATGACCACAGAGTCAGGACCTCGGTTTTACGTCTCATCCAAAGGACGGCGCCTGTTTACAGTATAATGTCCCCATCACTATACTGGGGCATTAGGACCCACACAGACCGCAGGGTGAGCACCCCCTGCTGGCCCCACTAACACCTCTTCCAGCAACCTTAGTTTTTCCCAGGAGCTCTCCCATCCAGGTACTGACCAGGCTCACACCTGCTTAGCTTCAGTGGGTTGCCAGTTGTGAGTTGCAGGGTGATACGGCTATAGTATACAGTATACTATAGTAGTTCAGGTGGGTAGCTGCGTCAGCATGCTTAGGCTGCAAAGGAACAAGTAATAGGTTTATTCCATGCTGAAGAAGACATTGTGTTTTCTTTCTTCTTTTTTTCAGCATGGAATAAACCTATTACTTGTTCCTTTGTATACTGTAGTATATACAGTAGTACATTCGAAATAATGTTCAGAACTGTGCAACTAAGTTACTGTGCCTGTTTGCAACTTGGTGCCCCTCTTGATCTGTTAGCAAATCAGTGTTGTTGATATTTGTCTCCTCAAACATGTAAACTCAGCTGCCACAAGAGAAACACAATGAACACTGCTTGCATTAAATGTTTTTTTCATCTCTCGGTCAAAGTCTTCTTGAAAGTTTTGAAATGACAATTGTTGTACAGCTGCAGCCAATACCATCAGTCGGTGAGGAAACTGCAGACTTTTTTTTTTGGTATGTCAGATAAATGTTAATACTCCTTTTAAACTTCACAGTTCCAAATCACTACACTATTGGAAAGCCATAGAGTAGACATAATTTCTTTTAATATTCATAATTCATAATTTCTTTTAATTTCTTCTGTTTGAACAGGCTTTCAGATGTACAATGTGGTGGTAAGAGTAAGCCATCAAAATATACTACTATATAAAGGTTAGATTTAAAGCATGTACAATAGATTATTAATTACAGTATGCTACAGTATGACTCTGTTTGAAGGTTGTAAATTTTCAGAATCTGGCTTCTCTGTTTTCTGACACACAGGTTGTACTGTATCTGCTTAAGCATGCTGCATTCAGATTTCAAGAAATTAGTCTTGTATCAACTGCTTTACCTTAGTTGTACCTTTCATTGGTAGGCTAATGTCATATTTGTTTTAGGTAAGTAGAGAAAAGCATTAGAACTCTGTGGACCTGATCACTTAACTGAAGATGTTGACTAAGTAGGAAGAACCCAAGGCAGGAAGATATAATAAAAAATACATTAAAGAATTGTAAAGCTTATAAAAGTCTTTGCCCAAGAGAAAAAATTAACATCATTGTTTTTTTTTGCTGCATTTACTTTTTCCTGTCGTTTATGTTGTTGTCAGTGCTTGTTCTAACTGAGCATGAAGTTTATCTATTACGGTTCAAAAGATACCCAAATCACAGGATTAAAAATTTAGAGACACTGCTGTTCTAACCATTAGCTGCTACTCCCTTCATTTAACAGCTTCTAAGACATCCAAAGCAATTCCAATTAATAGCAAGTGTAGATACCACAGCAAGCAGCTCCTTTAGAGTTTTATCCTTAAATGTGGTATTTAATCTTGCAATCTGTCCTTTCAACACGATAGTTTGTTGCTTAATTTTGATAATTGTTGCTTAATTTTCTTGCAAATTAAGTGTCAGAGTATAGAAACTACTGATGTTTTTCCAATAGAAAAATTAATTTAAAAAGCATCATGTCACAACTAAATAAATATTACTGTAGATGAGTTGAAGTCTGTTTTATTCCCAGTTGACACTTGCTCTCGATATTGGGAATGTGCTGTAGTACTGTACCAGTATAAGCATTTAGCATTATCATAACTAAATCTAGAACCAAATTATGTATGTACAGATCATAGTATAAATAGAGTCTATTAAATGTGTTTAAGGCTCTTTTTTCAGTAAAAAAAACAATTGGCATTTTTTCACGTTTTAATGTGCTTTTTTATATTATTAACAAGTTAACAAGCACACAATGAAGTGTTTTAGCCCATTAAGTTTTTCCATATAGGAAAATGCTGATTAGGCAGAATTGCAGATTTGAAGAATTGCTCCAAATGCATTCCTAAGAAATACTGAGCTCTTTTCATTTTCAAATTAAATTTATGTTAATTAAGTTTTTAATTTAGGTACCTGGTGAACATTCTTTCTCTCAAAGTCACCCAAAAATACATTGTTGTGCTTTGGGTTTTTTATCATTTTTCTCTCTTTGACTCTCTGAATACACTCCGAGGCACTGATTGAATGATTATTTTTTCAAACATTATTAGTAGCTGGTTTTGCCTTCAAAACTTTTATTAAACACATAAAATCCCCTTTGTGTTTGTCGATTATCAACTAGTCATTGTGATCTTTCTAATTAAACTTGTCAACATCAAACTTTAAATAGACTTCATGGCTTCAATCATGTTATTTGTCTTTCAGATAAAGGAGCCCAGTGTAAGAGTAAACATTCATTTTTATCTCTGCTATTGACAGAGACGTGAAAAAGGCACATAGTTTAAGAATAAACTGTGTGCAATAAACAAATCCTACAACAGGTGATATATTGTGTAGCGTGTCAGAGGCCATATGCTTACCACTGAACCCTCTCATCCTTGTCAGAAATGAATTGGCATTTTTGTTTTTATCACTTTTCCTTCTCTTGCTGGATAGTCAGACCATTAAAACTATTGATCATTAAGAAACGTTCAGATCTGAAGGAGCTAATTAAGGATCCGTTCAGCCTGTCAATTTCATTCTGTCTGCGTCAAAACCACTGAACTGAGCAACATCCTTAATAGGAACCTGTACTGCAAACAACAAGAAGACAGGTGCAAGCAAAGCAGTCTGAAAAGAGAACTAGGGACTTCTTTGTAAACCTCTGCTTTATAGCTGTTTAAACCACATTTTATAGCAGAAATTCTAGCCTATTTTATGTCAAACATTTTGAATAGGGAGTCTATAAAGTATTCAGTTTAGTTCTCTCACTCAGAATAGAAAAAGATTACTCTTGAGTTGTCCTACTTTATGTCATGTTTTTTTCCATTTACCCCTTTTCATTTTGATCAATGATGGTGTAATTTAGGTGCCCTCAAGATTGATGTTTATCAAGCCAGTTGTTTATTATAATGTCTGTAATTAATAAACACGCCTGCAAAAGATGTTTTGTAGCAGAATACTTCATACTTTGTATCAGAAACACTTGATTAACAAAGCTGCTTAGCTGAGTCACTAATACTGCTGTGAAATGGACATTAAAATTAACAGAAATGTCTGTACATTTTAGTAACAATAAATAAAATAATAAGTAAATAATACGTATATAGCACTTTACATGTCTAAGCAACTGCAAGTGCCTTGCATGAATTACGTTTTGACTGTGATGGTTATTTGGAATTATTTACCATGTCAATCTGTAGACTCTAGTATACTGGAGCCTTTTAAAAACCAGTTAGATCATGAGTGAGCATCATTTAGATTACCAGTGAAGCTAAGTAAGATGGGCCTAATAGACCTTATTCATGTTTATATTCATGAGAACATTCTGTTATCTTGACAGCTGTCATGACATCTTCACAGAGTCATGGCACATATTATAGTAAAATGATCATATGCAAATATGGTTGTCTTGCTTTCAGGTACAGCTTCTCACTAGTCTGTTTTGTTTTTGTCAGGTGTCTGATGTTAACATCAAATTTGTAGTTCAGACACTTAATTTTATTCATTCTTATAACTATAAATAAAGAAGTCAACCAGTCTTGATAATTTTTTCACAATAAATGGGGTTTATGACGAAAGTTCGGGAGGGATGACAACAACCAAGCTCAAACATACTCAGCTGTCAGTAATTAGCTATCCCTCAGCCAAGCAGGTTAAGCCAATATCCGCACCATAATAGTCCATCACGCTTTGATCTTGAGCGTTGTTGTTCCTAGTGAAAAGAAGTTACACAGTATTTTGGAAAAAGTAAGATATCAACAAAGTATTTCTAATTGTCTTTCTTACTTTTTTTCTTTACAGAGAGAGTCAGTATGTTATCTGCTTTCATTGGTCCTTTCAAATATTTGAGCCCTGGAACTACAACAACAGAAGATGAAGACACTTTAAGTAAGTTATCCTTCCACTTCAATGTTTTTTTGTGAATGATGACTGATGTGGGCTAAAACATCAGTTATCACTTTATTTAAAAGTGGGCATTACATTAAAAGCTCACAGGACTTCAAAAGTCAAAGGGGTGGAAAAAGTCTTAAATGACACAAACAAAATTTAAAAAATCATTTATAAATCAGTCTCTTTTCTAAATAAGAAACAACTTAACAAAACAAAAATGCTTTTGCAATTATCCCCTGGAAGCCCAATTGAGGAGCAAATTATTATTCTCTTCCATACATGGTAAAAATGTATGCTTGATTTGTTACACATTAATATAGATTGCTCTCTGTATTAGTATCTTGCATTTGTCAACATTCCTATACACTGACAGCTGGAAACCTCCCGGAGCTTCATCAAATGATCTGACCTTATTCAGTTGTCTGTGAAACAAAAATCTATTTCCCTTTCTTTGGATTAACGCAGATCATTTTCCTTGTTGCTTGCTGTTTTATTGTCAGTGTTCTATTGATTTTTCTAGCAGTGTGCTGAATATTTAATGAAACAGTTTAAGTATTTAAATACCGAGTTTGTGGCAGGTATTGATTTTTTTTTTTCTAAATGCTCTTGCCTAAATTATTATAGTAGTGCAGTGTTTATTGGGCTAGAAGGTCAAAACCATAATTTAAAGACACTTTTTCACAATGTTGTTGTAAGAATAGGTTTTCTTTTTATTTTAATTACTCTTTTCAAGCTAAGACCTGGTTTGTTACTGCTTTTGTATATTTTGGCCTTCAAAATGTGAAAACTGAAATGAGATTAATAGACAATAATATCGCTTAGTAGTAATGAGACAGTATTACACTTTTTTCCAAACCTAAAACTATAACCAGGTCCTTAAATATTTATTTTTTGTATATTTATTTTCTAGTGTTCATTCCATAATATTCTGGTACTGCTTCTGGTACTGCTTACTGATCGAGGTTCCCATTTGCAAGTCTTATTGTTTTCACTCCATGTTCTTAATTTGCAGATTGTCATTTCAGTTTTGTACCTTTTGTAAATTCTGGAAATAATATAAGACTAATGGATCGTAACGGTAAAGAGTAAATGGCCCAGATGAATGAATTTAAGAATATACAGTAAGCAGTATTACAATTAGAATTAAGGTTAATTATTTTTGTCCCATTCTAATGTCGACCTCTTTCTATCTCAGCAGAAGACTATTTACAATCTTAGTCACACAGCAGCAGTAAGAAAGAAAAAGACATGGCAGTCCAACAGAGCCCTGATCTACCAGGCATTTGATGTTCTCCACACATCCCTTGTGATACGTTCTTGCTGTGTGCTTCTCATTGTACCCAAACCCAAATAACAGTATCAGCCTGTTCTTGAAGATGGTAGCCAGCACTTGATTTCTATTGATATTTTTCTGGAAATAGCAAACGTTCTACAAACCACTGTAAAGGTGCTGGAAATATCAAAGACTGCAATGCGAACCTTATTAGACTGTTCTCATTTCAGCTGACAAACTTATATTTCCTTCCTGGGAATAGTGCAGTAAATGATTGGCAAACTTTTCCCTCCCTTGCCCCCGACACAATATTCTGTTCTTTCCAAGTAAAATTTACCATACATCTGAACTGCCAGCTTCTCTGCTTCCCTCTTCACTTCTGCCTAACAGCTAGTTTGAGTCAGCCACATGTGGGAATTAAACCTTAGACCTCCCCAATTTAGAGACGTCAATGCCAACCACTCAGTTGATCAGCTGGTCTTTTTAAGTCTAGACAGAACAAAAATGTGTTAACGGTGCAATTTTTTATCACATTCGGCATGGAGAGGTGAAATCATTTCCAAACTTGCTTTGCTCATCAAACCTCAAAACCTGTGCCTTGCGATATCTTATGTGATATCACCAGTTTATGTGCTGGTTAAGGGGATCGAAAGGAAAGGGCCATTCACATCAGCAGCTTAGGGATCATTTTATAATCGAAATATATGAAGAAGCAGACAAAATAAAATAAAAACATAAGAGAAAAAACAAGAAATAGATAATGAAATTATCATAGGTAAATCAGTAAACCAAAATAAAATATTCATATATAGTATCCCTAATTATATTAATGAGTTCCTCTTAATTCTGTATTGCTTGAAAAAGACAAATTAAACACTTGTTTTGCCTACTTTGGGTGGTTTCTCCATTTTGTCCCTGGAGTATGTCATCTCATCCCACAGCTTTTCCTATATTTTTTATGGCAATAATGCTCAAATCTTCCTCTCTTTTTCTCCCTCTGATACTTATATCTCCTTTTGTACCTCTGCTGGTGTCACAGCCATCTCCTCCTGGGTGTACTACTATCATTTTAAACTCCTTTATGTGAGGTCTGAGCTCCTTGGTGTTACTCTTGACCTCTCCTAGTCCTAACATACTACTTCTCATCCTCACTTTTCTTCAGTTACTTCATTACACCGATCCCTTTAGTGCCACAGACATTGGATTCAAACACTCGCAACCACTCTGCTCCTGCTCATCTTCAGTGTATAATTTCTACATACAGCCCATCTCTCTTTCTCCAGACCTCCAGCACCACCTCCTTACTCTCTCACTTCTACTCCATCGCTCTTTAGTGATTGAAATTAACTACTAACCACCCTTTGAATCTACACAAGATTGGTCTATTTAGACAGCAACTGTAATCTTTAAACTTTTGACTACATTCTTCGGTATCTCACTGTATTATAGTGATGTTTTTCACTAGATGGGGCCAAGTGGCCTCATCTTATTTTTATTCTTTAATACGAGGACTGGTAATATAACTGCTTTCTTGCACTCACAATAAAAAAGTTACTTGTGGTTACATTACTGCTCATTATTGAGCATTTTAAGAGTCTGTGTACTCTTCTAATTCATTTATGTCATTTATTTGTATGACACTTGAATTGGTTGTGTAGTTTGTAGTAGACTAGATTGTATTTTAACTGATTTATTTTATTCTGCTTCTTTGTATCACTGTAAATCTGAACTTTCTCTGCTCTGGATAAAAGCATTTGCTAAGCAAATAAATATTTGAAGATAGACACAAATGGGCATTTAAGTTGTAGAGTAATGTACATACAAGAAGGATGGACAAGGTGATGATTTCTGATAAATCATCTGATTTCTGTTGCTATGATTGAAGGCAGACTTTTTATGAGAAGAATATTTAAGCAGTCAAAAGACTTGTCTAAAGAAACCAAGAAACACATTTAGTTTAAATAAACCATGTCTGGGAAAGCAGAATGAGATTTGCTTCATCTTTGGAATAATTTCTTTACCACAGTGGCAACAACATGTAAATCATCTGGAAGGAGTATTCAGAGATTCAGCAGAATAACCAGAGCACACAGTCTGCACAAATCATTTATGTGCTAAGAAATCATTGTGGATAAATGTCTTCATGGTCAAGCATAGAAACTATGACCTTTTGAAGGCTAAGACGTGGTTGAGGGAGTGACAAAGATACTGTGAAGTGTTTTATTCACTGATGTTGGGCATTGACCAGAAGACTGACTTGACCAAAAATCTTTTCTTTGTCGGCACCCAACAACTATTTAAGAACATTAGTAAAACATACCTCACCATCGGCTCATAAGATCATCAAGACGTAAAGATTGTGTGACTGCTTTGAGAGGTACTGTAATCCAGATACTGATCTAAAATCTGAATTCTAACAGTATATATTTCTTATGGAAAAAGTCCCAAAAAGTCATTAGTAT